TTAATGGTGTCGTCACACTCCTTTCCTCCTCTTCCCCCCATTTTTAAGCTACAAAAGACTCATATGGCTACTTCTTTGGCTGCTGCTACACTGAAGACTTAATACTTAATGCTATGGAATCTTGGGATTTGTAGTTTTTATTTATTCATTCATTTTATTTTATTTTTATCCCGACTTCCTTCCGAAAAAAGGGACCCAAGGCGGCACCAGAGCTCTCTGACAGAGAAGCCCTAGGGCCTTTGCAGACTGCCAGAAATAGTGCACATTAAATTGAGGCACTGCCCTGGCTCAGTGCTAGGGAATCATGGGAATTGTATTTTTTTCTGAGACATTGAGCCTTCTCTGTCAGAGAGCTCTGGTGCCACAATAAATTACAGTTCCCATGATTCCCTAGCACTGAGCCAAGGCAGTGCCTCAATTTAATGTGCACTATTTCTGGCAGTCTGCAAAGGCCCTTTATGTCTCTCAGAAATACAAATCCCAGAATTCCATAGCACTGAGCCAGGGCCGTTAAAGCGGTGCGAAACCGCATTAACTCTGCAATGCAGACGCAGCTTTTGAGGACTATGTTATAGAGAAGGCAATTCCACTTTACCATCTAGCAGCCCTGCCTCCCGCAACCCTCCTTGTGGGCTTTGTTCCTCCTCCTCGGCCTCCCACTTGCCGTTTCCAAAGCAGCCTCATGGCGGACCCTGCCCTCCAGCCAAAAAGACAAGATTTGGGCGCGACTGACCAGATCCTCCAGAGCGAGAAGCGAGACAAAGGCTCCTCTTTCCCGCACAGAAAAGGGAGACTCCTCCGCGGAGACCTCCAGGGACCAACGTCGACCACACAGCCTCACTCCAGACTCTCCAACGCCGCTCTAGGACTAGTCTCCCCTATGGCCGGAAGAGGCGGGGCCGAGGCTAAGAGTGACGGCTGGGCGGAGGGAGGAACCCTCTTCTCCAGAAAGAGCCGATTGGAGAAGAAGGAACCGCGTGATGATTCCTCTACCGGCCCTGTGGCTCTGCTCTAGGAAGATACTCCTCTATGGCCGGAAAGGGCGGAACCATGACTGGGAGGAGGAAGGAAGTATATATAAGCAAGAGGCGGAGGAACCGTGTGTTGACGCCTCCTCCTCCGACCCTGCAGCTCCGCTCTAGGAAGAATCTCACCTGTGACCGGAAGAGGCGGGGCCGAGGTTAAGAGTGACGGCCGAGGGTGGAGTCCTATTTTTCAGAAAGAGCTGATTGGAGGAGGAGGAGCCGCATCTTTACTCCTCTCAGGCCCTGCTGCTCCGCTCTAGGAAAGATTTCATCTATGGCCGGAGGAGGCGGGGGCAAGGCAAAGAGTGACGGCCGGGAGAAAGAACTGATTTGAGGAGGAGGAGACGTATATTTAATCCTCCTCAGGCTCTGCAGCTCCACTCTAGGAAGAATTTCATCTATGGTCGGAAGAGGCGGGGGCAAGACAAAGAGTGACGGCCGGGAGAAAGTGCTGATTGGAGGAGGAGCAGCGTGTTGTCTCCTCCTCTTCCTCGGGCCTTGCCTTCTCCTCAGGCCCCTTTTTCGGTGAGGAGAGAAGGAGGCGAGGCCGCCTTTGTTTTTCTGACTCCGGCCTCGAGTGGGCCGAGGAGTGAGGAGGGCGCCGGTAAGAGGCGAGGGAGGCCGCCGCTGGGATCAAGGGAGGCGGAGAAAGGCTCAACCGGGGAAGAGGGACGGACAAGGAGGCCTCTCGGCGAGGAGAAGGGCAGGAAAGACCTTCCTCCATTCCTCCTCCTCCTTTTCCTTTGCAGCATTTATTCATTCCTGAGGTAAATTATCCTCTCCTTTAATTATTTATTTCATTTTATGCCGTCTTTCTCTCCACAAATGGGACCCAAAGCGGCTTACAAGATAAAAACACTTTTAATACAATTAAACAAACCAATTAAAGTTACCTGTCGTACTTTGGACACTTCATGAGAAAGGAAGTCTCATTGGAGAAGACAATGGGCCTTTGCAGACTGCCAGAAATAGTGCACATTAAATTGAGGCACTGCCCTGGCTCAGTGCTAAGGAATCATGGGAACTGTAATTTATTGTGGCACCAGAGCTCTCTGACAGAGAAGGCTCAATGTCTCAGAAAAAAATACAATTCCCATGACTCCCTAGCACTGAACCAGGGCATTGCCTCAATTTAATGTGTACTATTTCTGGCAGTCTGCAAAGGCCCAATAATGCTGGGGAAGGTGAAGGGAAGTAGGAAGAGAGGGAGGCCACAGGCCAGACGGATCGACTCTTATGAAGGAGGTCACTATGGGGATTAAGGGGGGCAGGGATTAAGCAGAACAGGGGAGAATTCATAGGGTCTGGGAGAGGTCTCCTCCATAGGGCCGCCATGGGTCGAGATTGACTTGAGGGCAGTTAATGACGACAAGAAGCTTAAAGCAATATAAAATATAGGTGCTGGGCAAATATTTGTATATTTGTATATATATAGATAGAGCATCCTAGAGTTGGAAGGGGACCCCAAGGGCCATCCAGTCCAACCACATTCTCCCATGCAGGAACTCACAATCAAAGCACCCTCTGTGACAGATGGCCATCCAGCCTCTGTTTAAAGACCTCCAAAGAAGGAGACTCCATCATCCTCTGTGGGAGTGTCTTCCACTATCAAACAGCTCTTATGTCAAGATGTTCTTCCTAATGTTGAGGTGGAATCTCTTTTACTTTAGTTTGAATCCATTGCTCCATGTCCTATTCTCTGCAGCAGCAGAAAACCAGCTTGCTCTATCCTCACTGTGACATCCTTCAAATATTTAGATAGGGCTATCATCTCATCTCTTAACCGTCTCTTTTCTATACTAAGCATACCTAGCTCCCTAAGTCTCTCATAGGGATTCATGGTTTCCAGACCCTTCACCAAAATGGTTGCCCTCCTCTGCACACATCCTATCACACCTTTTCTGTCTTCACAATAATTCTCTGAAGGAGGCTGAGACAAAAGATTGTGCTTCATTACATTTTTGGGGTGGGGACCTGAACCAAGATTAATATTTGTCTGCTGTTTTAGCCACTAAGGCCCAAAGCAAACTGCAGAAATAATCCAGTTTGAAACCACTTTAACTGGAAATTGATTTGGGAATCCCAGAAATTGTAGTTTAGTGTGGCACCAGCTCTCTGACAGAGAAGACTAAATGTCTCACAAAACTACAATTCCCAGAATTCCCTAGCATTGATCCAGGTCAGTTAAAGTGGTCTCAAACCAGATTATTTCTGCAATGTGTTTTTGCCCTAAGCCACATCCCTTCAGCTGGCTCTGAGTTTTTAAACTCATGCCAGAGATTGCACCACTTTCTGTGGTTGCCAGAGTGAAAACTGGAGAGGACTCCTTTAGTGGCCGAGGGACTTCAGCTCCCAGAAGCCTCAGCCATGTTGACCAATAGCTCTTGGGATTCTGGGAGCTGAAGTCCCTCAGTCCTTAAAGGGGAAAGGTTGCCTACCCCTGGTTTAGAAGGACACTGCATTGCATGATGGACTTGGTTTGTGGCTAAGAAGGAAAGAAAACCATTCACTCCCTACCTGTCTCTAGTTTATTTCTGAGATAAACGTAATGATCTGTGTTACAGAGGAAGAAACCACTTTCCAGTCTGATTGATTGTAAAACATCTTGCTTCTAGAGCAGTGATTCCCAAACTTTGGTCCTCCAGGTGTTTTGGACTTCAATTCCCAGACGCCCCAGCCAACTTGACCAACAGTGTGGAATCATGAGAGCTGAAATCCAAAACATCTGGAGGATGAAAGTTTGGGAACCACTGCTCTAGGGGATCTTCAAAATAGCTAATTCACAGGAAATCTTGTTTTCTTGGTGTCCCTAGTGATTTTTCCTGTGACAGTATGGCGGAAGAGGAACATACTCCTTTGGCTATGTTGGGAACTGCCTGGGAGAAAAAAATAAAAATGGAGAAGTCAGACTCGGTCTGCTATGATTTGGGAGAAGGCTCTCATCCTATTCAGGCTAATTACAAAGAAGAGTACTTGAGAAGAACCACGCAGAAGAGCCTGGAGGAGGATGCACTCAGTTCTGATATCCTGCACCAGAACTTCAAGCAATTTGACTACCAGGAGGCTTTGGGGCCCCGGGAAGTGTGCAGCCAGCTCCACCATCTCTGCCGTCAGTGGCTGAAGGAAGAGGAACACACCTCAGCTCAGGCCCTAGACTTGCTGGTTTTGGAGCAGTTTCTTACTATACTTCCCCCAGAGATGGAGACCTGGGTGAGAGAATGTGGAGCAGAGACCACTTGCCAAGCAGTGGCCTTGGCAGAAGGTTTCCTCATGAGTGAGGCAGAGGAGAAGATGCAGAAGGTGAGAGTGTTTCTTTCTGGTAATTTCAAAAGGTCTGGGATATTTATTTGCAAGGATACTGAAAATTCTTAAACTGATGATTAATCCAAACAAGAAAGAGGGTTGTGATTAGCCAGTAGGTATTACTGGGAATAAGGATTTAGTCCCCCTGAAGTAAAAGTTTGCAGCCTGCATGTATTCCTGGACTCAGCCCTGAGACTGGATTTCAAGTTTCTGTGGGGACTGGGAGTGCTTT